GAGGCCATCGCTAGTAGGTTGGAGCACAAGGCCATCGCCATCGCTAGTAGGTTGGAGGCCATCGCTAGGTTGGAGGCCATCGCTGTAGGTTGGAGCACAAGGCCATCGCTAGGTTGGAGGCCATCGCTATTAGGGTGGAGGCCATCCTCCCAGGTGGGAAGCTGTTCCTATTAGGTTGGAGGCCATCCCTATTTGGTTGGAGGCCCTCGCTATTAGGGTGGAGGCCATCGGTACTACGTTGGAGGCCATCGCTATTATTAGGTTGGAGGCCATCGCTATTAGGGTGGAGGCCATCGTTGTTACCTAGCTCGGAGAAGATTTGTCTAAACGTTGTGCCTAAGGACATTTAACTTAACATTAAAACACCGTGCGATTTGATCGATCACGGAAGTTAGCTGCCAGGCGTCTGGAGTGCCAGCCTCCTATGCGGAGCAGTTCGCCGGTGTTTTGCCGGACGACTTCTCATGGGAGGAGAAGCGATGCAAAATGGCGGAAACGTTCAAAGTTTTGTCTCCGTTCATTTTCTCAGCTAAATGGTCTCTAAGTGAAAGTGGACAATTCGGACATGACGGTCCCTATCAGTGCTTATTAGGTATATTCAGGTAAGCTCCGAGGAATTTGAACGGACATTTAGTGCCTTCAATACATGCAACACTAGGAGGAAGGACGCTACTAGGGGGCCCTGGCATCGCTACTAGGAGCAAGGACGCTACTAGGGGCTCCTGGCCTCACTACTAGGAACAAGAAGCTACTAAACAGCCTTTCCTGCCCATTTTGAGACTTCGGACTTGTTGAGTCTCGGACGTGGAACAGGAGTTTGTGGAGGCCTCCAAGCGGCCACTACGGCCCTGTGTCCGGGTAAACCTGCTGAAAGGCACAGTGCAAAGAATCTCGGCACAGTTGTGATGAAATTCTGAATCTTTTGCAATTACTATAATGGACTTCCTGTCAGCTTTTGCAATTTCAAAGCTAAGCCCCTGGTGTTTGGACGTCCTCGCGTCGTGTTGTGGACAGTGTCAACAAAGTCGGCTGTGTACTCAAGTTTCCCAAATCTAGGAACCGAATCATCAGCGCGAACGCTTCTTCAAGGAAACTTTCCCCCGCCGCCTTTAGGGAGCTTCCGTGAAGAAGCGGGAGCTATCCTGCGTTGTACCTAGAAGCTCACTTGGCCCCTGCTATTGAGTAGGCACCTAAAGAAGCTTCTTGTTACTAGTAGCTACTTGCTCCTAGTAGTACGGCCAGGAGCCTCTAGTAGCGTCCTTGCTCCTAGTAGCTTCTAAAATAGGCGCCTACTTAATTAAGGAAGGAGGTAGGGCCACGGGCACAAAACGAAAAAGATAATCTCAGAGCAGATGCCAACACCATCCCGACCTGAGCCTAGAGGTGTTGAGCGCTTGGGATCCCACCATGCGTGGCGCCTGAGTGAAGCAGTGCCTTAGTGAAGCAGTGAAGCATTGCATGTGCGAGGCAAGGACACCTGGCCTCCAACCTAAGAGCGGTCAGTGTGGCTCTCACAAGCTGTCGCCAGTCGCCCAAGGTGCCGTGGTTTCCTGACGCCTATTGGATACAGTTCCTTGGACGACATCCAAGACGTGAAAGCCCTTC